CAAAGTGCATCGTGATCTTGAGCCACATAGGTTAGGTAGGAAGTCGGGGTATGGAGATAACGTCTTATTTTTACACACAGACACACACACGCACACGCACACACGCACGCACACACACACACAGAGACACAGACAAACGCACGCACACACACACACACTTACTTTTACCCGACACACACTTGAGACACGCAAAGGAGCATACACACACACACACGCATGTGAGCAGGTCGTTCCAGGTGACGCATGGGTTTCTGCAACTGCACCCTGAAACCCATGCTCAAGTGAAGCCTGGAAGTTTTCCAGTCCAAAACATTTTCCTGATCAGACAAGCATGTGTTCCAAATTGGTACGCCCTGCGACAATGAAAGATTGCACTTCAAGATACTGGTACGTCCTTTGAGTACGTGCGCATGCAGAGGTGAGTTGATGTGAGCAGTCATGCAGGCACGCGGAAGCGACGCGGAAACGAATACACAGATGTAAACATATTACGTGATTTATGAATATACAGGATACAGATGCAGGCACCATAACAAGGTTCTCATTTGGTGTTACCAAGAAATATTATGTCTTGCTGATAATAGCTGACTAGTTGGCTGCTTTCAGGCCGCAATTGCCGTGGACACACTTTTAACACCGTCCATAAACTATGCCCGCGATACACCTTTCTCACAAATCCTTTCTTTGTCAAGTTGTCAGGTTGCGATAGCATTTCTCCGTGGCCTGGCTGTTCAACACCGTCTGAGTCTACTGTCGAACAGTCATCTTCTCGGGGGCTGAGTACCCTAGCCCAGAAAGGGCTAGCCTTTCAATTTATAAGGAGGTTTTGTAAGTTTCAACAGGTTAAAGGCTACTTTCTCAGCCCCTAAGCCAGGCCCTTGACCCGGCCCGAGCTGGTAGTTAAACAAGCCATCGCCAACTGATCGAGGATATTTTGTGAGCTTGAAGCATGCAGACTCCCATCGTGCCAAAGCGGCTCTGTACATGTCACTCCTAACTCAGGGTTCGCAATGCCCTTCCTCAGGTATAGTGAAATGAACATTTGTTAGCACACAAACCTCCCTGCCAGCCTGGAGGGCGAGATCTTGGGCATCACCCTTCACCAGGCCGATGGCAAAAACACATCTGAAGAATTCCACGAAAACTTTCGGCGGAGAAAGGGTCGCCGTGATGTTGTCTTTGGTGATGCGTGGGTTCAGAAACTGTCTCAATCATCCGGCATCCCCTGATCCTTTGACCCTGGATTCATGCGGCGCCGATGGCTTTTCAACCGCAATCCGTCCAAAAATTCAGGACATCCAGACGAATGGGTCATCTTCCTCCGGCAGCTTGCAAAGGCCCGGACGGCCTGCCACAATGACTTTTGGTAGGAGGGAGGCTTCAGGGGCTTCCGCCGATATTCTGTTTTCGGGTATGTAGAAAAGGTATGTGTGCTTTTTCTTTCTGCATGCGCACATGCACATACTTGTGTGTATGTAAGCACGCGCACGTGGCCCTTAAACGCACATGGAATTGTGTATTTACGTATGTGTATAACCGTGAATGCCTACGTACCGCCTATGTTTACATGAAGTTATCGTATACAAGTACAGACGAATATGCATGTCTGTATAACTTATGGCAACTTCACATGCACATTTATAGGCATATGTGTACCTGATATGTACGTACGCATATGTGTAAGATGTATGCATGCATGTATGTGTAGGTGTGTATACACACATATACATACACATGGATATGTATGTCTATATATATATATATATATGTATACACATACATACGTGCATCTGCTCCTTTCTGTGTATGCACCGAACACTGTATTCATTATGTACAGCTACCTTGAAGCGCTGCTATGAGTTTCGGATGTCTTCAGACAGCTGTATGGCATACCGCGTAGGTTTCAAGTGTGTCGGTTATGTTGTGGCACGTTGACAGGCTGTTCAGGGTTAGGTTCGGATGGCAGAATGCTCACATGCAGAGTTTAGGAAGACAGCGGATGGTCCCCTGAGCTCTACAACATCAAGCCCTGAAGTTCTTGAGACTGGAGCTTCTGAAACTAGTTATATAGGAACCGAACATCAACTGTAGATATCCCTAAATACACGCATCCGCAGTAGAAGGACCGCACGACCACAGGACCAATTCGTTAACACAAGATCCCTATGGCTAAGCAACCTCCAGAAACCTCGACACTTTTTGACCTCTGCTGCAGAGAGGTGTGTTTGGCCGATGCTGAAGGCCCTGCGAAAGGAATCTGGGCTCTTGAAAGTCTGAGGGTGCTCACTTAATCATTTAAGTCTGTGTGGTACGGGTACACACACTGGTTACGGCTATCGTGCTCTCCGTGTTAAGGTAACCTTAAACGAACTTCCTTCCAAGATCCCAGGGATTCGCTGGGGAGGAGATCGCCCCAAGGCCGCCAGCCAGGGTTCAAGACGCTGCAGATGAGCTTGGGAGGAAGATCTACGAACAGCATGACTGCACGGATGGGACAAGAGTACAAACACATATAAAACGTATATCTTACACAGACACCGAAGTGCTTTACCAAAATACGCATGTACGTATTATGTATATATGTATGTAAGTATGTATGTGTGTATAACAATATAGAATGGAAAAACAGAACATAATAGAATAGAACATGTAGTGGAATCGAACAACATAACATTACGATATAAGACAACAGAAAAGAATAGTATAGTATAAGCTAAGATAGGATAATGTAGGGTAACAAATACGATATAGTATGATATAGTGAAGCATAGAATAATATGATGTAAAAACATGTTTGTCTACAAAAAATCATTGGCAAACACTGAGACACGCGAATGCATGCACGCACACACATACGCAAACATCGAAACACCCAGCCACACACCCACACCTTCTCAAGCCCAACATCCACACCCACCCTCGCGCCGCCTGTGCGCCCGCCGACCGGCCACCCTGATACCTGGCCCACCCACCCACCCACCCACCCACGTAACCATCCACCGCACCACCCACCCCACCCACCCACCCACCCACCCATACATGCAGGCTGACAGATGCAGACAACTGCGTACAGGAACAGCAATGGCGCACTCACTCCCATACACACACACACACACGACGAGAGAGAGATGAAAGTGGAAGAGAACAGACACGACATGCATGCTTCCACGAGAGGCGTACCCCTGGCTGGCTGGCCACTACGGTGGACCTTGCATCAGTCGGAGTCGGATCACATGCAGCCAGGGAGAGGGCAGGTGACTCGGCGACCGCCTCAACAGAAAAGCCGGGTATCTTGCATCAAAACCATCTAAGATGTTGAAGTGAGGCCGAAACTCTGAAACCGTGAAGATGGACGCCTGTACCCGCATCTCCCCCTAAGCCATAACCGGGCAATGCCTAGCCGCGACAAACGTCGGCAAGGCTCTTCTGCCAGGAAGGCGAGCACAATCACCGGAAGATTAGAGATCGTAAGATGTCAAGGGTGTAAGGCTGATCGGGTTTATCCCTTCATTTGCTCACCTCGTCTTGGCCACCCAAGACATGAGATGTGCCGAAAAGACTAGGAGGGTGGAACGTCGA